AGGTGGGTCCCTCGGGATGCACTCAGATCTATCTTCTGTGCGTTGCATGGGAAAGGGACATAGTAGGATATAAAGTGCGGTGGGCTGCCTGGCTTGTTGCTGCCCTGTTTAGACCACCTTAGACACCACTCACTAGATCCTGCTCAGTCCATAGTCACAGAACTGCAGGGTTTTCTGGCAAGGATTGACCTGGAAAGAGAAAACTGTCCACATAGGCCTGCTGTCTGTGTTCCAAGGGACTGCGGTCAACTTCTATCCTCCTGGACCTCTCTCATCTTCTTCATGATTTTTACTGCAGTAACTCACATTTAGTGTTTATTACTTGCCAGGCATCATGCTAAGTGGCTTGCATGCATTATCTTATTTAATCCTCACAGCAATCTTATGAAGTAAATACTATTACCATCTTCATTTAAAATGAGGAAACTAGTGTTGAGGTTCTTCATAAGTTTTCTACAGGTCATGCAGTTACTAAATGGAAAAGCTGGAAAGATTCAGGGCTCTGTGTTGTACTGGCCTTTATTTACTCAGCTGAGCTGTTCAAATCAAAGAGCCAAGGGCATTCCCTAGGCATTGTCAGAAAATGGTAGTGCCTATTGACCCCTGTCTTCTGGCAGCAGAAGAGAAACACCATGATATGTGTGTCCTGTTGTTTCATTCTGGTTTAAGTTTCCTTTTTTTTTTCTTCAATAAATTGGTTATCTGTACTGTGACTTTGTAGGATGATTTAAGTCTATATTTTAAATGCCACAACTTTAGACCAGTTTGGTGACAACCTGTGGAGCAGTTCAGTTGTCATGGCTGTGACATGAAGGGAGGAAGTCATTGATTTGTACTTAGTTTCTGTGTCAGTAAATAGGCTGCTCTTAGATGACAGAGTCTCTAAAACCGCAGCCCTAAGGAATGGAATAATATGCTAGGCTTTTTGCCAAGAAGTGGATCCCAGTCTTTTCGTTTCTCCTGCCCTTCTCCAGCAGAACATAGTGAAGAGCATTGAAAAGATAGTATTCTTGTGATATCCATGATCAGTACGTTAGAAGACAGTTTCCATGTCAAAGAGATAATGTGTGTATTATACGATCAAAAGTCTTTGAGCCTCTTGATATACATTAATGATTTCTAAAATGTCAGTGTCTCCTAGTCCTGAGTTCTTCATGTATCTAAATGTTCACTAGAATGAGTTCAATGTCAAAATTCGAGATGAAAATGCTGAGTCAGGTAGCTAGAAGGATTAGCAAGGGGGGAGGGGTTAAGTGACACATATATTTTTAGAGACTTTTCAAACTTTTAGAAAAGTTACAAATATAATTCAGAGAAGACCCATCTACCTTTTGTCCACATTCATCATTTTTTATATTCACCCCTCTCTTTTCTTCACACACATTTTTCTGAACTATACAATTTGTTCTCTCTGATGCATAACAAGTGATTGGGAAGACCAAAGCCTGTATCAGACGCACCTTAGTCTGCAGAGAGACACCATTGCTTTTCAGTACTTTGGAGAGGTCCCTAACAGCAGACTTTCCCATGGCAATGCACCTTTTAATTTCCTGGCTGCTGTTGCCAAGACAGTTGACTATGGAGCCAAGCAAACTAAAGCTGTGTACAATCTCAATCTCTTCACCATCCATCCTGATGCTGCCAATTGGTCCAGTGGTGAGAATCTTTGTCTTCTTGACATTGAGCCTTAATCCATATTGTAGGCTGCAGTCCTTGACACTCTGCAGCAGGCGCTTCAGGTCCTCTTCAGTTTCAGCAAGCAGGGTTGTGTCATCCGCATAACGCAGGTTGTTGATAAATCGTCCACCAATCTTGACCCCACATTTCTCCTCATAGAGCCCAGCCTCCCGGATAATCTATTCCGCATATAGGTTGAAAAGGTATGGAGATAGGATGCATCCCTGGCGTACGCCCTTCCCAATTTTGAACCATGCAGTGTTCCCTTGCTCTGTTCTGACGACTGCCTCCTGGTCCAAGTATAAGTTTCGCATTAGAACGATCAAGTGTTCTGGGATTCCCATTCTTCTCAGAGTCAGCCATAGTTTGTTATGATCTACACAGTCAAATGCCTTTGCATAGTCAATGAAACACAGATAGACATTCCTCTGGTATTCCCTGTTTTCAGCCAAGATCCATCTAACATCAGCTACAATATCTCTAGTACCACGACCCCTTCTAAACCCAGCCTGGACTTCTGGTAGTTCTCTGTTGATATGCTGTTCCAGTCCCAATCACTTGTTATGCATCAGAGAGTTGGACAATGACCAAGGAGGATAGAAGGAGAATTGATGCCTTTGAGCTGTGGTGCTGGAGAAGAGTATTGAGAATACCATGGACTGCTAGGAAAACAAACAGATTTGTCCTGGAAAGGGTTAAACCGGGTGGCTTCTTGGAAGTAAGGATTCTGAGGCTCCGTCTAACATATTTTGGACATGTTGTGAGGAGAGACCGGTCCTTGGAGAGGGACATCATGCTTGGGAGGGTGGAGGGACAGCGCAGTAGAGGAAGGCCCTCTATGAGGTGGATTGATTCAGTGACTGGGATAATTGGGATGGGAGTGTCAGAGACGGTGCGATTGGCACAGGACAGAGCGGAGTTTAGGGCTGTTGTACATAGGGTCGCTATGATCGCAAGTGACTCGATGGCACATAACAACAACAACAACAGGATCCAAACTTGATTATGCTCATGAGAAACCTATACTTGGGCCAGGAAGCCATAGTCTTTGTAGTTACTTACTGTTTAACAATGTCTAAGGATGATAGAAGAAGAATCAATGCCTTCGAGCTGTGGTGCTGGAGAGGAGGACTGAACATATCAGGGACTGCCAAGAGAACAAACAGGTCTGTCTTGGAGAGGGTGAAACCAAGTTTCTCCTTGGAAGCAAGGATTTTGAAGCTTTATCTCATATATTGTGGGCATGTGGCCAGTAGAAACTGGTCCTTGGAGAAGGAATCATGCTTGGAAGGGTAGAGGGACAGCACAGGAGAGGAAGACCTAGAGTGAGATTAATTGACACAATACCTGGGGTAATTGGGGAAGATATGTCGGAGTCAGTGAGGCTGTCTCAGGATAGGACAGGTTTCAGAGATATTGTACATAGGGTCGCTATGGGTTGAAGGTGACTTGATAGCACATAACAGCAACAACAAAGATCTAAACTTTTGTATATGTTTGGCTTTTGTATATGTTTCTTAAGATTAGGGATATGCTGGTATGTAGTCATAATAATTATCAAATTAGAAAACTTCAGTATTCAAGCAATATTTTTATCCACTCTATATTCCAGTCTTTGAAAAAAATATTTTAGTAGTGGACTTTACCAGTATTTTCTCCTTCAGTGTAAAGTACAATGTGTTGTTGTTGTTGTTGTTGTTGTTAAGTGCCGTCGAGTCGCAGGCGACTCATAGCGACCCTATGAAGGAGAGTCCTTGATGTTTGGGTGCCTTTCATCCTCTCTCCAAGTTCATAGGGTTTCCTGAGGCAAGCTATTATGGAAGTGGTTGCCACTCCTCCTTCCACGCTTGTTCAATCGGGGAGCTCCACCCCACTCTCAGTCCAAATTGGGTAGCCAACCATTAAAGCATTTGACACATGCGTGTCACAGTGTTCAGCCTCACAGCAACCACAAGTGACCGCGGGACGGCAACTTGTACACCAGGGCTATACGACCTAGAGGAATGTCTTTCTCTTGGTAGTCCATGCTTATATATTGCATTTAATTACTATGCCTCTTTAAAACTCAAAACCCAGCCTCATTGCCATGGAGTTGGGATTGATTAATAGAAGACACTTCAGTGTGTTTCTGAGGCTGTAAATCACATAGAAGGAAATTGTCTCTTTCTCCTACAGAGTCACTGGTGGATTTGAACCCCCAGAGACAGGTGGCCTTTGGTGCAACTCTATGTACAGTGCCACCAGAGATACTCTTCTTTGGTTACAAGCAGTTTAGCCACCTTTGTTTTTTATAAAACGACCGTTTTTAAGAAAACAGGCTGTTTTTTAAAAGCAGAATGTTTATTTTGAGTCGATCTGAATTTCCTGATCAGACTTAGGACATCTAATGGCAGCTGGCATCTAACAGAGGCCATGGTGCATCTTTCCCAGGTGTCATGTCCGGAGGCACAGAAGTCCCTCTGCCTCTCATTGAGGATTAATTATAATCACCTGATCAAGGTGCAGTGTTAACATTTTCTCCTTGGCAACTTTAAGTTTTATTTTATAATTTCTCCAGACTTTGAGATACAAGCAAAATAACATGCTAATACTTGATCTCTCAGAAACATAGTCCTTTCAAGTGGCAAAGAAATCCTAATGATAAGTCATAAAGTAATGGAATTTTGCAGTAGGGTAGGTAAAGGAAATTGGAAAGATCCCGTGTGAAAAACAATATATACCAACTTTGTAAGTAAACCAGTATAAAATAAAAATTTTATTTTAAAAAAAAAGATTGGTTTAGATACTCCTACAATGGAATATTAGCTGTAAGGAGAAATGAAGTCCTGATACAAATCATAATGGATATGAACTTTGAAAACATTATGCTGAGTAAAGTACACTGTTATCACAAAGGACTAATCCTGTATGATCCCATAGTGTTGTATGACTGTGTATCTAGAATAGGCAAGTATACAGAGACCAAGGTTTATGAGTGGTTACCAGGTGAGAGGGAGCAGGAAAGAGGGAGCCATTGTTTAGGAAGCATTGAGTTTCTGTTTATGGCGGTGGGAAATTTGGCTACAGTTACCAGCAATGATTGCACAAAATAATGCAATTGATCCACTAACTTGTACATGTGAAAAATGTTGAAGGACTACGTATCTTTGTGCAGAAGTTTAAAAATAATTAAAATCAGCTTCTAATATGCATTTCTTCAATTTACAAAATATTCAGAGCTGTTACTTTTCTAAATTCTTTTAAAAGATAATGCATTCTGTTTAGTATGTTTTAAAATCATCCCTCTTCCTTTATTCCTTTTTATAATGATTATATCTTTATAGTTTACTTCACTTTAAGGTCAGCCTTTAATGCAATATCAACGGAGAGAGAGAAAATGAAGCAGCTGATGGAACAAGATGTCACCTCCTCGCCCTCCGCCCAGGTCGTTGGTCTGAAGCATGCCCTGTCATCCGTAAGTTATGCATCCGTGTCACAGAAAGGGCTGCACGTGTGCCTAGGCTCATGAATTCCTCATATGCTCTATCCTCATGGTTGTGTTCAAAATTCATGACTGCAAAAGCAAAACAAATTGTCCATGTCCCATTCTAGCCCTTCTTCAGGTCTGCTTATTCCAAATACCCAAATGGACCCTAGCCCAAATCTAGTATTTTATTGTGTTTGATACTTTGTTTTGTTTCTTCCTATTTATTAGGCAGATTTTTCTGTTTCCAGAAAGTGTATGTTATGCTTGTGTGTGTGTGTTAAACACTTGTTTGTTAATGTTTGTAAGACGTGGCAGTTTGAAGGTCTATATACCTAGACCCCCCCCAACCCAGACAAGTTAGATGACTTTTCAAATGATACATATTAGAGGAAAATATCAAAGTGACACCTTCTCTTCTATAAAGCACTGATCCTATTTGCCTCTCTCTTAAAGCCATGGAAGTTATTTTATTTGATTATACAGTAGAAAACATTTAGTACCTGCAGCCAGTGTTAGAAGATGAGTCATGCAGCATGTCTGTCAGGTAGTCTTAGAAACTTCATAACAAGAGAAAGATTATCACCAAGCTTCACATTCCTTTAGCAAGTTGTTTTTCATTCATCCACTTGTTCCCTCTCCATTTCAAGTGAATTCCAGCTCATTCTTCAGACTCTGTAGGCTCCACTGGTGTGCCCTGTCCTAGGATCCGGCTTTGATTTGCTGAAGTTGTGGTGGTTCACCCTTTATCTTTTAAGAAAATGGAGAACTTTTGAAATAACACACTTATTTGCTCTTATCCTTTGCTTATACTTACTTTGGAGCTCTTACTTTAAAAAGAATGTATATGCACAGATGAAATTACCATCTGGCGTAATCCTAACATTTCTCTTTAGGGTCAGGTAGAAAGAGGAATTTTAGGAATCCTGACACGAGAAGGATCCCATAACTGAGTCTGGGTGCCAGGAACCAATTGAGCATTGAGAATCAGAAAATCTCTCTATCTTCATATTTCCCATTCATCATGTTACTGAGAAAAGTAATGAGCTTAGTGCGTTATGCGGATGACACAACCCTGCTTGCTGAAACTGAAGAGGACCTGAGCTTAGTGTAATGTGAATGACAAACCCTTTACCAGTCGCACGTATTACTGTTATAAAATACTACAGGGATATTCACTCACTTGAGCATGTGATCTCAAAAATGGAAATGCCACTGGCTTTCTCCGTGAGTGCTGGCGCTGTCCGCGCTGAATGCCTGGAGGTCCTTCAAGTCCAGAGGTGGAAGCAGCCCCTTTTCGGATGGGAGTGATAGTTGGCCATACCTTAGGTCACTGAGTGCTGCCTTGGTTTGAAGAAAGCAAGGTGGTTCTTTTTTTATTTTCTCTTTTCATTTTAAGTTTTGTTTGCTTATGTCCTAAATGGTACAGTGTGTTTCTTAATGTTTTCATTATGTTGGCTTTTCATGCATTTAGAAGGTACCCCTGACCTGGCAGCCCCAAGAGTTCCTTTCCCCATTGTCTTCCTCCTCTCTTACCCCTTTCCTGAAGGTCCGGCCCCATCTCAATAATCTGCTCATCTGATGGCCTTTCAGACTCATTTGGTCGTGATGTCCTGGGCCAGCACTAATGAATTCATTCTTCATCTGTGTGCAAGATTTGAAAATTCAGAAATAGAATGACCTTCTCTTTCGGCTTCGATTCCTGATTGAATTCAAGACTTGGTCTCTATAAATGCATATTTTTAGAGCCATCTAGGGCTTTTGGCATGGGTGTTTTTGTGCCACATGTGCTGTCTTTGGCTCCTTTCCCTTATTACGTCTGCCTGTGGTTTATAGAAGAAAAAAGAAGACAAAGAAATTCCTAAAAATAAAAAATTCCTAAAAAGTATCCCTACTAAGATTGGAGCTCTGCTGGCCTAGTTGTAAGAAACCATGCTATAATCTGAAAGGCACGTGGTTTAAATCCACCAGCTGCTCAGCAGGAGAAGGATGGGTAGTCTCCTCCCATGCAATTAACTGCCTCTGAAAACCCTCCAGAGGGTCAGCTGTGGGTTGGTTTCCATAGCTCAACAGTATTCTCTCTCTGTCTAAGATTCTAGCCACCTTACTAGTACCCAGCAGAAAGCAAGCACCTTACATAGACTATCATCTCTGTTCATTAAGAGATTTTCAAATAACTCATACCATCTCTGGGTACTCAAAAGTAAATTTACAAGTTCTATTTGAGTTCCTGATAGAGCTGTGGGTGTCTTGTCCCTGAACACTCTCAAAAATAGATCCTGAGTATGCGTGGGCAAGACTTAGAGCTTGTTGAGGGTCAGGAAGACAGACAGAAAGACATGTACACACCCCCTCCTGTAGCTGGATGTGGAAGTGTTTGGGGGACAGTCCCATCCTGCTTCACTTTGAGCCAGTTTCCTCCTAGTTGGGAGGTTGGGATGAGGAGTGGGACCTGAACAGGGAAGAATCAGAGTCCCTGTGTGTATGCTCATATCTGGGGTCACAGGCCTTACCTCTACCAGGTAAGTTTTTTAGTTTAAACAAAATAGTCATAGTCCTGAAGAATTAATAGAATTCATTACAATACAAATATAACTAGTAACAATCACTAACTAGATTGTAAAACAGGACATTTAAGCTTCCAAGTTATCAGCACACTTTCTGTGAGGCCCAGAACAACTGGTGTGGTACTGAAATAACATTAAAATAGTATGTCCAAATGTAAGGGTATAGGAATAACATTTTGCTTGGGAAGCTTGGAATCACTGGGAAGTGAGTTGACAAGAGACAAAGACAGATGGGGAATGAGAAGCGATGTTGAGAAAACAGTGGTCACAGTAAGAGCTGGAGGGGTCAGATTTCCTTTGCCACTGCCTTTACTGACCCCTCTACAGACAACATTTCCAGAGCTTACTGTGTCTGATCTCCCAGGTATCTCAGAATGGGGTAAACAATATTCAAGGTGAAAGTCCAGAAACGGCCCATTGAGGATACATCTCAGGAGTTTTATCAGACTCTCAGATGCCTACCAGGCCCACTGCTGTACTTTTCTGAAACCTCCCTTTATTAACATACCCCACTATTTTTTAACATGTTCCAGGCCTTAGCACAAAACACAGATCTTAAAGAGCGCTTACGCAGAATCCATGCCGAGTCTCTGCTCCTCGACCCCCCTGCTGTTGTCAAGTTGGGTGACAGTCTGGCAGAGGTGGGTAAGGTTCCTTGTCTGGTATCGTCTCTAAGTGCTGCCTGCTCCCTGGCACCCTTTCCCATGATGCCCTCTGCCTGGTCGTATGGCCTCCTGCTTCACTGTCGCGAGTAATGTTCGCATCCCACACGCCTCCTCGTTGATGCTGTGACATCTGTGGCAGGGATTGGGGGCTGCAGGGAGCTGCCTGGGGAGTGTGATATTACTGTTACATGCATTTCAGGATGCTGCTTTTTTCCAACTGGAACTTCTTTTTTTTAGGCCTGTTTGCTTCTTGAGTATCTCCACCTATCACTTGGTATTTCTGGAGTGGGAAAGACTATATATTCTCCTGTTATTTTTGAAGACATCTAAATTTCTCAAAATATTCCAATCTCTTGCCCTCTTCCTTACTCATTCTCTGAGAACTCCTCATCCCCTTTCTTTGTTCTCTCTTCTTTTCTCCTTCGTGTAATTTCCCCCCTTTACAGAGAAGAGCACAGCTCTGAACTCTAAGGTAAAGATAATGAGCTCCATCAAAATACCTTGTTTAATTAACAGTATAGCAAAAATTACTGTTCTCAAGATTTGTGGTGTTTACCCAATATTCTCTGAATATGCTTAAAATTAGAAACTTCTGAGAAGTAAAAGTAGATTATGCTAAACATAATTATGCATAAAGGTTAAAATTTGTTTCAGCTATCTCTTGTTTTTCTATACCTCAGATTACTAAATTTTGCATTAGATTTAAAAAAAAAAACTAAATTAAAAATACAGATTGTAATATTTCCAGGCTGGGAAGATGAGTGGAAAGGCCAGATTCTACAAAAGCTTGGAAGCAGGAGTGGCATTCACTTCCAAATAAAGCTTGCTTCCAGAAACTCTATGAACTTGGAGAAAAGATGAAAGTTTTGCATTCAAGACTTTCATTCATAGGGTCGCTATGGGTTGTCTACGACTCTATGGCACTTAACAACAACAATATACAAAGAGTTTCTGTGTGTGTGTGTGTGTGTGTGTGTGTGTGTGACATCTTTTAACAAGAGTTTCTAAAGTTTGATTTTGGAATTTTGGGGTGATACAAATGGATAGTGTGTTTGGTTACCAGCTACATTCAGAGGCACCTTAGAAGAGCAGTCTAGTGATCTACTTGTGACAAATCAGCGTTTCAGACACTAGACCCTCACTAGAGAGGAATGTCTGCCTTAATCTAGCTATATGGGACCAAATTGATACAGCAACTTGAAAATTTAGATAGGAAGCTTAGAGGGCAGTGAGCTTATGCTAATGGGGGAGGAGAAGAGGTTTTATCAGGATCATTCCGAGTCATAGGAATCCTATAGGGCAGACAAGGACCTCCCTGCAGGATTTCTAACACTGTAAACCTTTACAGAAGTAGTAGGTCTCGTGCTTCTCCTGTGGATGCCTAATGAGTTTGAATTCCCACCCTTTTGGTTAGGAAGTGAGTGCTTAACTACTGTGCCACTAGAGCCCTTAAAGGGGGGCCAACTCCAAAATGGAGGGTACAAGGGGCTGCACAACTTGAATCTTCAACTGCTAAAGAAACTGCTGAACTGGTTTATGTTCTGTGCATAGTCTTGGCAACAGTGAAATGGAAGACATTACTTTTAAAAGTAAGAAAACTCTGTGGGCATAGTTGTACTCAGACACATGTGGGGTTATCATGAGTTGCAGTCCTAGCAGTGATAATTGATGGTAATGTTTGAACATTTCCTTCCTAGTCCTTTTCCTGCCTTTGAAGAAAAGCAAGCACTCACATAGTACTGGCTCTTGAGAAGCTCTTGTGTCAGGCAGTGAGGAGATTAGAGGCAGGAAGGAGTCAGCACACAGGTGAAGGCCTGTGGCATCTGCCCTGGACATTTGCAGTACAGACTCCTCCACAGCCTGACAGGACCCTCGTCTTCCAGAGAGTGAGCTCCCTTTACTTACTGTTCATAAGTCAACTAACCATGGCTGATGTCGAAATTCCTCTTCAGACCCAGTTTCTCAGATCTCATTTTTAATCGTTTTTAACTCAGACATATAAATCAGACCCTTTGTAGAACCAAACAGCTAACCATTCATTTAATGCTTAGGAGGACCACCTTGGTTTTAGGCTTAGAGACTGGCATGTGCTCACCAAGCTAGCCTTGAATCTACATATGCCCAATAAGGTAGAGCCCAGTGACCAGGGCCAGTAACCATTGCAGAATGCTTCCTGTCAGACACCTTGGTAATCCACAAGATTTCATGTATTCCCCCCCCCCAGGCTATACTTATCTTTCAAATGATAATCTTATCTAAATAAATAAATAAATAAGTTGAGCATTTATATGTTTGTGAATTTTTGCTCAACATGTATGCAGTGGGCATATGCAATTTGGAAAGCCCAAAATCACAAGTCTTTTAAGGTTTGTATTTTTCAAACTGATCTCAGAAGTCACATACATGATAGCTAACCTGCTGTAAGTCATCCTAGAGGAGGTCGTGATACATCCCTCAAGTTCACACCTCCTTCCGAACAAAGCCTTCTTGAACCCGTATCAGGGGTACGGGTGTCCCGTTTAGCTACCTCTTCTTTTAGTGACTTTGTGTTCTCCACATTTTATCCTGCTTTCCACTGGGTGACTTAGGCTGACTTTCCTAGGAAAGGGAAAAAAAAAAACAAACCTCACATTGTTGATTCCAGAAAATAAGTCAGAAAGTAAATGGATATTTCAGAGCCTGAAAACTTCTGCCCTGTCTATTTTTCTGCTATCACTCAGTTTTCTTAAACACTTGGGAGACAGCAGCCACACACAGTGGGGTTGGTTAACCCACAGTGCTCTGTTTCTGTAACTCCTACTTTCTCTCCTCAGCTGTTACCTCCTTTTACCTGCAAAAATTACCCATTTTTCATATTAGACCTTTAAATGCTTCAAATTAGACCTTTAGATGCTCTAATTCTAAAGTCTTTTCTTTCCTATCAGAAATTACCCCTATATCTTATAAAATTCTCCTATTTAATATTCTAGATGGGAAGATTAAATATTAACAAATTGTCACATTATTAGATTATTTTAAATTATTTTTATTTCCAAACAAAGGCCCAGTGATTTTAGGGGGTAATACTCGAATAATTCTAAAGCCTCTTTAAGAGACTAAATAGACTATAATGTCAACGAAAAGTCAATGGAAGGAATGGCTTTAGTGGCCCACCCATCTGTTATAATCTACATGTATTGAATATAGCATTTCACAAATCCATATCACCGCTATATGAGGTGGGTTAGGCCAGTTTCATTTTAGTGACAGGCAAGTGAATCCCAGAGAGATTAAAGCAACTTCTCCCTAGGCATGGAGCTAGTAGAAGACCCAGCTGGGATTCAAATCTGCATCTAGAGTCCAAAGCACATTCTTACAGAGCATCTTACACTGCTACTGGATGAGGAAGGGTGTGTGAAATCTGTGAGCAAAATTTACAGTAAAGCTACAAGTGACCTCAAGGTGAGGAGGGTGTAAGAATGGGACAGAATAACTAACCCAGGAATAAACTCCAGTATATGTCAAGAACAAGTAAATATATAGCAGAAGAGGTATCAAAAACCAGTAAAGAGGGAAGATATGGGTTATTCAGTATATAAAGTATACACAACAGTTTACATGATTTTTATTGTACACTAAAATGTATCAGCTATGCATATGGAAACATAGTGCTTTAAATACTTAACAAACAGCAGGAAAGAAAATATTTTCTGAATTTGGAAACAATAGGGAAAAAAAAACCTGCAAAAAAAAGTTAACTCTTTTCCATATATTGACTACATTTTAAAAAAATTTGTGTATATCAAAAGTAAACTAAGGCAAATACAGCTAAGGGTAAACTTTTTCATAGAAATGGCAGCTTTTAATAATGCCAGAAAAAGGTGACAGTGTTTTAATATGAAACAAAAAATAACAGTCATTTAAGACCACAAAAAATAAATGGGAAAGGAGCATAATTTTTAAACAAGAAATACAATCCATTTCTTAACTTCATTTTGAAGTGTTTATTGATTTACGAGAAGGTGTAAATCTTTACAGCTGATTTTTTTTTAAAAAAGGAAAGAAAACCAATCGAATCCTTAGCAACAATGCAAATGACAAAAAAATAGTGTCACTTGGGATGTAGCAAAAACAAGGATTATTTTGTCATTGTAATTGAGATATACACACATGCCCACAAAGCTTTAAAGTCAGTAATTCAGTTTTTAAGAAGAGGTTATAAGAAATGAGACAAAGACATTTATAAAGGTGTTTGCCAGCCGTACAAATTTGGAAACATCTGTAACTTAAAGGGAAAAATAATAAGCTGTAGTGGTTTAGTCTTAGGGAGTTGTGCGGCCACCCCCAAGCTATGCAGTTCTAATCCAACAGCTGCTCCTCAGGAGAAAAATGAGCAGTCTCCTCTCATGTTAGTTACTGCTTCTGAAAGCCTGCCGGTGGGTCGGCAGAATTGGTTCTGACTCCACAGTACATAACAACAACAATTTGCATAATTTGAAGATACTATCTGTTGGTTAGAGTTCCTCTCAAAGAGCTGTTGAATGTTTGAGAAAATATACACATGTAAAGTTAGGTGAATATAGTAGACGATACAGATACTAGCTTTTGACCCCAGCTTTTTTATTTCAAAAAATATACCTAAACACAAATAATTTCATAGAAAAAATTCACCATAGATTATTAAGAGACACTTCTTTGTGATGGAATTTTAAGCAATATTTATTTTATTTATACTTTTTATTTTTTTCTTTGAGCATATTCCTTTAATTTTCAGGGAACTTTGCAGAAGTTTGTGTATATATAATGATATTATTTTAAAACAAAAGTATGTATAGAAAAATAATGGAAAAACTATGTAAAAATATTATAGTGGTTATATTACATGATGAGATTATGGTATGCCCTTCCCTCTTGCTCTTTCTTGTTTTTTGGGTGGGTGTGGGTGTGTGTGTGTGTAGACAGAGAAGTGAAGAGAGGTTGCCACTCAAACCTTATAGACATGAGGAGAAAATACTGGCTTGAACTGGCTAGGCAAGTATCTTAATAAATGACATCCTGTACTGTCCAAGGATGTGGAGGCTGTACATCAGTTGTGTTTGCACTGAATATTTATATGAGGTTGCTAGAGTAGGAGATCAAAATGGGCTAGGGCCTACATTTAGTATTTTAAGTGTTAGCCAACCAGAAAAATATTTCTGATCCATTATTCTAGGAGGAGGAAGATCAAGAGAGCAGGAGTGACTGATTATAAATTAATGAGTAGAACTAGTAAATAAATCATGAGAGTTTTATGTGGCAGTGGCAAACCACAGGCGCAGGGCATTTCTATTGTTAAAGTGAGTATTAAAGGGACTCCAGTTTCGTGCCAGGCCCCTTCAGGCAAGAGACATTTCTTTCGAAGGTGACAGCTGTGGTACTTATTAATGATCACTTAAAAGATCTCTTAGTCTAGAGAGAAAGCCTACTTTTCTGAAACTCTGTGGAGATTAAAATGGGTCAGAGTGGAATCTTACATCTGATAAATCAGAGAAAGAGATGCACATTTTGAAATGCTTCTAAAGTAAACATTTCATGTCCTTTATCATTATGAACATGTGTTGTAGCCCCTTGTCAGAGCTTGTTCCTCTTTGGGGTATAATTTATGCTTAGAAATTTAGGAATATGTCCTCAATTTGTAAAATTTCTAGGTGAGATACAATCTTCTTTAACAATCCGCATTAATGTAGGACTTAGCTATCAGGTTCATAGTGATACAGAAGCAGCTTCTTGATCAGCCCAGGGAGAAATGTGGGGAAGCTCAGGGGAGCTTTTCTAGTTTGAAGGAATTGAGTCATCTTATTCAGGATTTTCTCCTAGGTCCAGGTCAGATGACATCTTTGTATCAAGTCCTCTCAGCTGCCTGCTCAGAGTCAATCCCAGCTCCCTCTCAGTTTCTGTTGCACTGAGACATGTTGAGGAACACTGTGCACCCACTCAATTCAGAGTGGAAACTTGGTCTTATTTGTGATTATATCCCTCCATGGCCAGCAAAGCACTGTATTTTTAGTTCAATTGAATTCAACCCAGTCTTGAGTTGAATTGAATTTTCATTTGCAAATAAAATCAGAAGCATACTTTCCAAAATATTTATGCCCTACTGGGAGGGACAGCAGCTCTGGTGGCCTAGTGGTAAGGAGTTTCAGTGGCAAACCAAAGGTATGTGATTCAAATCCACCAGCTTTTCCATGGGAGAAAGATGAGCAGTCACCTCCCATGCCATTAACTAACTGCCTCTGAAAACCCACCGGAGGGTCAGTTATGGGTTAGTTCTGACTCGAAGGTACACGTACAACTACCTAGTCAGTGGGATGGAAATGAGGGCCATTCATGATTATAAAACAGTGGTATTTGTCATTTAATTTGTATAAAAGCTTTTGATCTCATCTGTTCATGAATAATGGATGATCTACCACCTAGGGTGCTTCTAGACCAAAACACACTGTTCGTGTGTTAAGGAGCAGCTCAAAAGCAGCCTGTGGGCCTCAGAAAGTACAGGAGCAGAGGAAGCTATGTTCTCTGTTCTCTGAACCAGCCGTGCAGGGACATGCATTCAGTTCAATTCAGAGAGAACTCTAGGATGAAGAGACATCCAGCAGTGGTGGGGAATGGGAGGATGTGATTCAGAGAGGAGTTGAATTATTTCTGCCCTTACAGAGAACAAAGGCTGTTCGGGGTTGGGGGGAGGGCGGTCTTTTTTTTTTTCCTCTCTCTCTCTCTCTCAGATGCATTCGTGTGTCTGGAAGTGAAGTGCTTGTTTCCAGGATGACTTCCGCTTTCCATTGTAGTTTGTATAAGGCTTATTTATCCATTTCAGACCTGCTCCCTGCTTGGAACTGCTTGTTTGCATGGGCCTGTGACCTTTTATGTCATGTCATTAAACCATATGTTTATTTTGCTTACGAGTGTTTCTGAATTTTTGATGGTTTTGTGTTTGGCTTTTTTAAAAACAGGAAAACTCCAGAGATGAAAACCGAGCTCTGGTCCACCAGCTTTCCAATGAAAGCAGACTCTCCATCACTGACTCCCTTTCTGAGTTTTTTGATGCCCAGGAAGTTCTGCTGTCACCGAGCTCTTCAGAAAATGAGGTTTGGACACTGTTTTTACTCAGGTGCTTCAGAATCTCCTATTTTGTTGATTGCCAAGTTTGGTAATACCTATTATTGGAAAGAGGAATTTGAATTCTTGACCATCTACAATTTGAGGGTCTTTCTCATATCCCCAAAGCACAAGATGATACAAAATCATAGAAGAAAAGAATTGTGCGTGGAGAAGATGTCTGAATACTTCCCCTTTACTATAACTTGATTTATTAGAACTCTTTTCCATTATATGCCCCAGTGCCATAGTCTGTAAAGCGTTGTACTGCTAACACAAAGGCCAGAACTTTCTGGCTGTTACCCGAAGCTCTGAGGGAGAAAGATGGGCTGTCTCCTCCTATGTGATTTCCAGTCTCTGAATCCCCACGTGAGGGTCAGGTAGGAGTCAGTTCTGACTTAACAACAGCAAGATAAGATGATTTCATTCATAATTTTCATTTTCAGTTGAGAATATATTTTCACTGCAGAGAAATAAATTGGCATCCTCTGTCTTTTGTTTGGGAAGAGTAAGTAGTTTTATATGTAGTAGAATGAGATTTATATTAGGTTAACTACGTCTGCATAGTTACATGTATGATAATGTCTTAAATTGATGCATGAATTAATGTTTTCCTGCATAAGCAAGTATCATAGTTAGCATTCCTATAGGTAAGTTGTTGTGGTTGGTGAGTGCCGTAGAATCGGAACCAACCTGTAGCTGACCCTCCGGTGGGTTTTCAGAGGCAGATAATCTCATGGGAGGAGATTGCCCAACCTTCTCCCACAGAGCAGCTGGTGGCCTTTGGGATTGCAGTGCAGCTTCTTGCCGCTAGGCCACCAGTGTATCCCATTTATTTGTTCCTCAAATATATGGTTAAGCACTTACCTAATAACCAAAGGGCCAAGTGTTTGAATCTGCTTGAGAGAAAGACCTAGCAGTGTGCTTCTGTAAAAGTTATAGCCAAGAAAACTCTAGACTCTCTTGCTTGGGATTACTAGACGTTGACAATTACTCCATGGGTGCCAAACAACGAGAATTTTGTTTCTATATTAACTTCCATGCAAATTTCTTCCCTCTCCCAATACTACCAGAACAAATCACAACTCAGTCGTGCCAAATTTTAACAAATGCTGAAAATGTAGTCTAAATGAATAAAAATGTTTCTAATAACTAAAATATTTTAATTGATGTTTTCCTTATGAAAAGTAATCAAATAACCATAATATTTTAATAACAAATGCTGGCTATGACGTGTATCAAGGCAGACTGATGTAAGAGCCTTTATAAAAACCATCCATTATTTCTATAGATTTATAATGTGGGATTTAAATAGTATTTGATAAGTTGAAGAAAGCATTTATGAACATCTTCATCTTGAATTTTCTTAACCTCTTATATATTATTTCTTGTTTTCTCCTAGATTTCTGAAGATGACTCATATGTCAGTGACATAAGTGATAACCTTTCCTTAGACAACCTCAGTAATGATTTAGACAATGAGAGACAGACCTTGGGTAAGATTTCAATCATTTGACCTTTGAAAGTTTGGTTGTTGACAGGACCAGTAACCGAGTAGTGCATAATAAAATTAAGGCCAAGTCCCCAGCCTTGAAGATTATATAATCTGCTTGAGGAAAAAAAAACAACTAACATGTGAAAGATACATTCATTCATAATCTTTTCATCTTGTGCCAATTTTTATTTTACAAAATGAGAGAGTTTTAATTATATAAATTTTGGAATTTATTGCATTTGATGTCTCTTATACAGTCTGTGGAAGAATCTCAGAACCAGTGGGTTGAAAGGAAAAGGATAATAATACAGTAGCACAAGGTTATTTACGGCTGGATTTTTTAGAAAAGAACTTGAGAAATGAAAAAGCTTCCACTTGGTAAGCAGCACACGTGCCGTTCACATTGTGGATGGAGAAGACTAAGGAAAACTCTTCTCTTAACAATCAGAGGGAAGATAGGAATGAAAGAGAGGTCAAGGTTGGGAACTTGCCCCAGGAGACAGTGTCTTTGCTTAGTTGAGACTGGCCTGGAAAGGCCTGTAGGAGGTCAAAGCTGTCCTTTCTTCTCCCACTCATCCCCTGTTGATCAGATTGCCATGATCTGGTGGTCTGTCTATTGCTATCATGCTGGAAGCTGAGCCACTGGTACTTCAAATACCAGGAGGGTCACCCCTGGTGGACAGGTTTCAGAGAAGTTGCCAGACTTCTGATGAACTAGAAAGACAGGTCTCACATTCTACTTTGAAAAATAAGCTTATGAAACCTATTTTACCAAAAGTAATCCAGGATGTTCCTTAGAAGGGAGGAAGGTGAGGTAAACTCTCATGTACTCTAGACATGTTATAAGGAAGGATCAGTCTCTCTGGAGAAGAGCATCATGCTTAGAAAAGTCAGTGAAAAAGTAGAAGACTATTAGCAAGATGGATTGAGATGGTGATTGCAGCAATGGGCTTAAAACGTGGGAATGATTGTGAGTATGGTGCAGGATTGGACAGCATTTCACTCTGCTGTATTTCACACCCTCATTCATTGTTGTGGAGTCAGAACCAACTCATAGTTGACTGTCAAGTGCATTTTCATAGGCTATAAATCACTCAGGAGGAAAGTGGCCATCTTTCTCCAGCAGAGCTCCTTGTGAATTTGAACTGCCCGCCTTTGAGTTGGCGTTGCACCTCCTTACTCACTGGACCAGCAGAGCTCCCTTCTGTCACATACAGAGATGACTATATAGGAGTTGGAACCAAGTTGATGGTATCTAACAATAATAATATATATAAATAAGATAGAAACCGGGGGGTGGGGGGCAAAGAATGATCATCAAAACATATGTCACCACACTGAATTAAAACAAAAAGTAAGTTAAAATAGAGAATGCTAGCTACATAAGAGTTTGACAGATAGTAAAAGCAAATGGTGATAACTTGGAAAATCCTCAGGAGATGGACATTTGCGTATGCTTTGGCTAAATGTGTAAGCTGAGGCAGTCTTTTTGCAGAGCAAAAAGTCTATTCATAGACTGAAAAATCTAAAAAATGTTCAGTCTTTGCTATAGTAAGTAACCTCATGTCTCTGTAGCCTAATAAAATGCTCAGAGTACAGTCAAATATCTAAGGGTATGAATATTCATTATGATTTTATTATCTTTATGGCAAAACATTGAAGAAAATGTAAAGTTCAATTGTAGATAATAGAAATCATAGCTTATTTTCATACAAAGGAATATTTTCATTGTTCAAAAATGTTTTGGAAGAATTTGAGCTAACTTTACAAAATATTCACACTAGCTGAGTAGGCAGAATATTATATATACAGTATAAGCTATAACCCCCTGTTGCTGCGTCCCTTTCCACTCATGGTGACCATTCCGTTTCTGAGGCTGTAAAGAAGAAGGGAGGAACTCTCTTCATCTTTCTTCTGAAGAGCAGCTGGTGGATTTTACCAGCTGTTTCAGATAACAGCGCAATTCGTAAGCACTGTGCCACCAGAGGTCCTTACGTGAGCTGCGTGGATAGAGAAAATGCTAAATGATAAGTCTCCTAAACAAAAATAATTGGCTGCTATTTCTTGGTGGAAAAGATCCCTGGTGAGGAGTATATTACCTTTGAATTGTTAACCAAAAGGTAAGTGGTTTGAGTCCACTGTGGGAGAGAGATTCAGAAACGTCACCAAGAGTTGGAACTGACTTGACAGCAGTGAGGTGGCTTATTCCTTCCTGGTGGAGTAATGGATGACATTTTTGTTTTCGTTATCATTTTCTTGTATAAATTGGATTTTTAAAAAATCAGAATCTAAAGGGGTTGGGGTTTTTTTTTTTAAGAGTCAAAGGATAATTTTTTTTTTAAAGCCACTGTGTGCTAGAGCATAGAAATCCAATTTCTTGTCTTTGTTGTGGATGCTAGTTTTTTAGTGGATACTTGAATGGCTCTCTGTGAATAAATTCCATGAGTTTTAGGGCATATCATTGTTTTGGTATGTCATTTAATTGCTCAGACTTTTTGCTTATTTTTGGGCTTTCAGACCCATTCTCACTACTGAGATAAACAGTTAATAGGTCATGGTTTGATTCATGTATTATATTTTTCAAAACTAAAAAGCTTCGTTGAGACAACCAGTCTTGTTTCCTTCTCAGGGCCTGTTCTGGAAGGTGGCAGAGAAGAGAAGTCCAAGAGAAGAACGTGCCTGCCGGCGCCAGGCCCCAACACCAGCAACATCAGCCTGTGGAACATCCTGAGGAACAACATCGGGAAGGACCTGTCCAAGGTGGCGATGCCCGTGGAGCTGAACGAGCCCCTGAACACGCTGCAGAGGCTGTGCGAGGAGCTGGAGTACAGCGAGCTGCTGGACAAGGCCACACGCATCCCTAGTGCCCTGGAAAGGATGGTGAGGAACCTTACCATACCATGGCCTCACTGCCTTGAGCCAGAGGCTCACAGGGCAGCTCAAGAGACAGACCCCCTTTTCTCATCATCACTTCAGTGGCTCAGTTCTCAGCCATGTCTGCTCCTCTCTGCCCGACCATGTCCAATCACCTTGTCAGGATTTGCCCTTGTGCCAGATGGTGCCTGAGGTAGTTTTGCTCCCAGCTTGTCTGAAATGTCTGGCTGGACAGCATGTCTTTAGGGCTGTCTCGTGTTTATTTTTACTCCCCTGGGTGCACAGAATTTAATTTCATGAGCTGTTTTTCTCATCCAGGGTAAATTTCCCTTGAGACTTGTTTTTGTTTATTTTTAGAAGTATCCCATCAGCAGCTAGATTTTTGGGAAATTTCATTCACAGAGGAAGTTTTTGCATGAAAAAAGATTTGGTTTTTTTTCCCCCATTTTGTTTTTTCCTTAAGAGAACGTATTTTAAAAAGAAAAGGGGGAAAAAAGGCTTATCCTAGAAAAATCTATCTTGAGGCCTTTAGTATTATATCTAGTCACAGGTTACTAGCTGACAGAAGGGCTTCCAAGTAGTTCTGGGTTTCTGGATGGTGAGATGGTTATGGGAAAACACTCCAGCTACCAACCCAAAGGTTAGTAAATTGAAACATTGAGCCGACCCGGAGGAAAGGCCTGGCTATCTGCTTTTAGAACACTCAGCCTCTGGAACCCCGATGAAGCCTAAGTTCCATTCTGGCACACATGGGCACTGTAAGTTGGAATCAACTTGAAGGCACCAGGTTTTTAATTTCTTTTTGGTTTTCTAAGTGCTTCCAATCATTCACTTAATAAGATAGTGAGACTCTTGTTAAATCCGTCATTCTCTTTCTGACGGCTTTGCTCTTGAAAATGTGATGATTATTCCTCTTTTGTTTCCTCAAACCTCGTAATCCTTTTATGTCTTTATCTATGTGAAATGCTAAAGTCTCCTGGGCACTGGCTGCATTGTTATATGCTGTCAAGATGGAACTCATAGCTGACCCTCCAGCAGATTTTCAGAGGCTGCAAATTGCACAGGAGGAAATTGGTAGATTTGAACCACTTGCCTTTGGGTTAGCAGCAACTCATTACCACCAGGCCATTAGTGCTTCCTGGGTATTTGCTGAATGGCTGAATTACAGTTAGAGTCCTTTGGCCATGCTGACCCTTGTAAGTGGACTGACAACCTCGAGTTGATTTACATGTCTTTCTTTTCTGCTGTTTTAATCCTCATCATAACCTTATTACTTTAATGATTTGAAGATTATAGGAAAACCTCTTCTCTGGATGAAAGGATATCCCACAGTCATTCTACAAAGCTTCTAGAGCCTTCTTTAATCAAAGAGACTTCTATCATGATACTAATAATAATAAAGGGAAGAGAGAAAAACAAGCTGGTTGTTTTGGGGGGTGATTTTTTTTTTTTAATCTTCTTTGGTACTTCTGCCTCAAAGAGGGAGGCACACAGCTTCTAAGGCAGTGTTACAAGTCAATATTTCTGGGCAGTTCCAGTCTTTTAGGAAGAAACTGGCTTTGAAGATGAAGGTATTTTTAAAAGAGTTTTGTTCAGTGGCAATTTAGAGCTCCTTAGGATGTGAGCTCACTGATAGGCATAACTGGCTTTGGGAAGAGGTTTCAGGCAAGGAAGTTTCATTCCACCACAATGCCCAAAGAAGAACGAGTCCAAGCCAGCACTGAGCAGCATCCGCTGTATTTTGCTCCCTTGTGCGCCTGCATAAATTTTCTCACATCACCACTCAAAAGAAGGGTGCTTCACTGTGTCTGCAGTCTCCCTTTGCTCTCCCCTGAGTGTTATGGAGGACACCAGGTTCTTTTCTAAATATTGTTCTATTTTAAATTGTGAAGTTGAGTCAGAGCTGATACAGCTTGCCATATAGATGATGTGACTTTATTACTGCTTAGCAGGTAACATGCAAAAAAGCAATAGAAAGATGCCCTAGTTTAAGAACAAAGGCAGTCAGATTTGACTGGCTTATAGCAGAACAAACTGATATTTCTAAGCTGTCTAGCCACCCCTGAGCAGTTACTGTGTAAGGTGGTAAACTATTGCAGGCAACATCCAAGATTCTGCAGAGGCTAGGGAATGTTACTTGACTCATGAATATTTATGAAGTGTTTCTGGGTGATACAGATGGTAAATGAATCCAGCTGCTAGCAGAAAGGTTGGACGGTCAGGTCCAGCCAGAGGCCCCATACAGGAAAGCCCTGGCAATCTACTTTAGAAATATTTGCCCTTAAAATCCCTATGGAGCACAGTTCTACTCTGACCCATCAGAGTTAGAGGCATCTCGATGGCCACTAGAATGTTTTTTGACAGACATCCAACTTCACCTCATCTAAGAAATTTTTCCAAATGTGCTGAGAAAAAGAAACTTTGAAGTTGTGGTTCAATATCAGCAAAGAAAATTTGTTGTTGCTACTTGGGCTTAAGCTTTCTGGCAAAAATAAAGAAGGAAGAGGAGAAACAAAGAGAAAGAAAGAAGGAGGGGGGAGAAAAATGCATGCTTTTGTTCCCTAAAGGGCAGGTATGAGACCTGGTAAAAATGGTGAGAACTCCAGAGAGGGCTTTGAGAAGATCCTGTGAATTTCCTGTTCACAGTAGCATCCCTTATTTTCCTTTTAGTTTTCTTATGGTTGGGTTTGATTTTTTTTTTCCTTTTTCTTTTTCTAGAAAAGTAGAGCTTCCTAAAAGAGACTGTGCTCTGTCATGTGGCTTATTTTCCCGGCTCATGAAATGACTCACAGATTTTCTGTCACCAGACTAAGCTTATAGTTTTATTGCAATGTCCGTAGTGAATGTTTAAACTTGCAATACTTATTCCTAATTTTTAAGAGATACCTGACGTTTACATTCTTCCTTCACACTCCTACTCTCACTTTTTTAAGAAACCTTAGAACAATATCAGGATTTTCAGATAATGCTAGTTTAACAGTAAACAAAACCCCATTGTCATCTCATCTCATTGGTGTCTGAATTGGAACTAAATCATAGCTGAACCTCTGTTGGGTTTCCAAGTCTGAAAATCACAAAAGAAGAAATTACCCATTTTTTCTCTCTTGAAGCCACTGGTGGATTCGAACCACCAAACAGGTGTTAGCAATGACCAGAGTTACCTAAAAATTATTTAGATGACTTTATAAATATCATCTTCTTGACTGGCTTTCCTAACTTTTTAGCCTTAAAACAAACAGATGACGTTTAAATGCTTGGTTAATTTGTTTCTGGGCCAACAGAACATTGTTTGAATCTCCTACTAACACATATCTTTGGATTTCCTGGGTAAAACCATAAAGAGAGAAGCAGAAGTTTTATTATTGCTTGCTTCTTTGTTCAGTGTCTTGGTGAGAGAAAAATAACGATGTTTTCTCTTCTGTGTCCTAGGTGTACGTGGCAGCCTTTGCAGTATCCGCATATGCATCAAGCTACTTCCGAGCGGGGAGCAAGCCATTTAATCCTGTTCTTGGAGAAACATACGAGTGTATTCGTGAAGACAAGGGCTTCCGGTTTTTTTCAGAACAGGTGGATATACACCCTTTATTTTTGTTGTTTGGAGGAGTTGCTCATTAAATGTGCTTCTAAAATATTTATTTCCCACCTTTCTTTGGCTTCAAAGCAGCTGAGATAATTACATGCTTTTAAACATAAAGAGAAGTATCAATTTCCCTTCCCCTGAAACTTAGCCACCACCCACGGGCATAAAGGTACTAGTAATTCTGAGCACTCACCTGGCTACATGCATTGACAGCGTCGTTTCTGTTTGAAGTCACAGTAAGAGGATTGTGTAAACCGTGGAGCTTTTCCAGAACTGCAGCTTAGAGATTTAACTCATTGCCAACCATCCTGGATCATTAATGAACACATCAATGAGAGTAGGTGGCATCTACAAATAAATGCATTGTTGATTTTTATTTAAGGGGCATTTTTCTTTCCCATCCTGGTTCATTCAGTCAGCCAGTAGTTATTGAGCATCTGCTGTGTGCCATTGTTCCAGGTTCTGGGAAGCTGCTGGTAGTGGGGTTCAGGGCAGACAAAAATCCCTAATGAATGGACTTAACTATGCTTATGCTACCTGAGCCCCCATCGTCCTCATTAGACTCTTCTTAACCTAAGGGTTAGCAGAGAACAGTGTTCTGAAACAAGGTTCCTGAAACCAGACAGCCTGGCTTCAAATCTTCACTTGACCCTTTCCTGGGAGAGTGTGGTGGTTCAGCCCATGGGGAGTTGGTCATGGGGAGGTGGCACCTCTCCGGTGGTTCAAATCCATCAGTGGCTCCGCAGGAGAAAGATGGACAGCCTCCTCCCATGCCAGTTACAGCCTTTGAAAATCCTTTGCAGGGTCAACTGTGAGTCAAGTCTGGCTCCACAGCAGTGACTTTTAAATGAAAGCATTTAAAACAGAACAGTATCTGGAAAATCAAGTATAATATGAATGTTGGCTGTCTGTGTTGATGTATGTCAGCATAGTTTGCACTAGTGGAATATTGGGATCGTTCTAAATATCCACTCAGAAGGACTAAAACAGGGTGCGTGAGTACTGAAAATAAGAAACAGTGCCCTCTTTCCATCTATCATGTAAGTGAACTAGGGTGTTCACCATGTCTGTGTGTAGACATTAGTTTAGGAGCATTAATGATCTTTGCTTTGATACATTTTCCTCTTCCTTATTCTTACAAAACTAAGGAAAACAGGCAATGCATTGCTAAAGTAATGTTTTCTTTCCATTATTTTGCTACTCTCTTCTTAGTATGGAATTGGGGAAGACAGAATGGCGTGGCTGAGAGACACAATTATAAAGGCAGTGTTTGTCAAAGGCGGTGGTGTTGGAGTTCAAAGGAAAATGAATATGCATCTTCAATGTCTTCTCAGGAGCTAAAACTAGAAAGAAAACACTGGCTAATAGTGGAGATGTAGGGGGTTAAATCAGTAGTTAAAGAGATAAGATACGTGGATTCAAATTCAACTCGGTTATTTAAATGCCAAGCTGAAAATGGAATGAGAATAAATGAAAATATAATTTGGTTACCATGGTATTATATGTCCTCAAGTGAAAAAAATAAAGGCCCAAAATAGCCCCAAGCTATATCAGACAATCAGTGGATGGTGAATAGGTATGGGGGGGGGGGAGCATTACAACAACCCAGTAATAGGTGTTTATTATGTAAAGCTAAGCTTCAATCCTGTGAACACCTGATGGGTCAAGGCCAAATTCAGAATCTGTTTGTGGATATCCTGTGGCGGCACAGGGAAAGAAAGTGGAGCTTTTGGGGACATGGGCACCAAGACGGAAAGAAGTTATGTAACTTGGGCTTTAGTTCCATGAAATGGATCCCAAGGGGAAAAGCAAGCCAGAGATCTGGTGGTGTTAGTATTTCAGAGTGTGCTGGGTGTATTCTAGACCTGCTCTCCAATTCTAGCACTCCCACCTACTCTCTGTGCAAACTTTCTGAGCCTCAATGGTTTCTTTATCTAGAAAATGGGAATGATAATTGCTGGGTTCATAGAGGCTAGATAGGCTGAAGTGAAGAAATGCATTGATATATAAAGTACTTACATTCAATAAATTATTATGTTATATTTAAAATATCTTTTAAGATGGAGTGTTAAAAGTATTAAGAGATGTGTTGAAAAGGCAACAATGAACTTAAGGAATGACCTGATCAAATAAGGCTAAAAGGGCATGTATTTGTAATATGTCTTAGCTTGCCTAATTAACAAACACCGTATCTGTTCTTTTATAGCCTGTGGTATAGTCGATACTCTTCACCAGCATCACAATTTAAAGACATCAGTTTTTCTTTGGTCTTCCTTATTCAGATGCATGTGAAGCAACTGAAAATACCATGACTTTGATCATGTGTACCTTAATCTTTAAATTAATATACTTGGTCTTTTGGAGCGATCCTTGTCAGCGGATTTTTCTAATGCTTGTTAATTGCTTGACTACCACTGCCATGGATGTTGATTATGGATCTAAGACAAATGAAGTTGTTGATACCAGTCTTTTCTCTATCTGTCATGGTGTTTCCTGGGCATGTTATCAAAAGCACCAGTCCTTGGAAAATGACATCATGCTGGGAAAGGTCGAGGGTTGGTGAGAGAGAACCCTCAATATAGATAGGCTAACACAGTGACTGTAACAATGGGCTCGAGCATGAGGATGGCACAGGATAGGGCACCATTCCAGGATAGGGCACTGTTCCAGGATAGGGCACCGTTCCAGGATAGGGCTCCATTCACAGATCCTCTTCATAGGGTCTTTATGAGTTGAAGTTGACTTGATGGCACGTAACAATGTCAAAACTGTATCTATCTACTCTAGGGAGCTCTGGTGTCTGTAAGGAGTTGTGCTACTAATCTAAAATTGTTCTAAAGCTAGTGCCTCTAGCAGTTCAAATTCACTAGCACCTAACTTTATGAAAGAAAGATAGGCAATCTCTGCCTTGCAATTCATTTACAGCCTCCAAAACATCACCAGATGATCAACTGTGAGTCATCTCCAACTCCACAGCAATGAATTTTGAGTTATGGATATACAAAGGCTGTACTTTATTAATTATGCAAATGTTTTCCATTGTCTATATCATAACACATTCTAGATAATTTCCAAATTATGGATAATAGTAATTTCCAGCTCTACAGCAATGAATTTTGAAAGCATGATTATTCAAAGTCTATATTGAATATGCAAGTATTTTCCATTTTCTATATCATAACAAATTACAGATAATATTTCAAAGAATGAGAATTCTAGAACACTTAATTATGTTCATTGCAGAACCTTTCCATAGACATAGGGAGTTGTTACAACAGAACAAGGTGATACAGCATGGTTTAAAAATCAGGAAAGATGTCTATCAGGGTTTTATATCCTTTCACCATATATTTTCTGTCTACTGAGAAATCAATCCAAGAAGCTGGGCAATATGAAGAAAAGAACGCAGCATCAGAATTAGAGAAAGACTCATTAACAGTTTGTGATGACCAGATGACACAGCCTCGCTAGCTGACAATGAAGACAACTTGAAGCACTTACTGGTGAAGATCAAAGACTGTTCAATTATGCCTCAAGCATAAAGAAAACAAAAAATCCTCACATGTGGAGCAATAAGCAACATCATAATAAACAGAGAAAAAACTTGAAGTTGTCAAAGATTTTATGTTATTTGTATCTACAGTCAATGCCCATGAACACAGCAGTCAAGAAATCAAATGATATATTATTGTATTGGGAAAGTTTGCTGAAAACCTCTTTAAAATGTTAAAAAAGCAGAGATATCATTTTGAAGACTGTCACCTCATGTGTATCCAAAAGGTGGACAATGAATAAGGAAGACTGAAGAAGAATTGGTGCATTTAAATTATTATGTTGATGAAGAATATTAAATATACCATGAACTATCAGAAGAACAAACAAATCTGTCTTAGAATGATAGCTAGAATGCTCCTTAGAAGAGAAGATGATAAGACTTCCTCTCTTACTTTGGCCTGGTTGGTCCTTGGAGAAGGGAATCATGCTTGATAAAGTAAAAGATCAGTGGGATTAAAAAAAAACAACATGAAGACCCTCAATGGGATGAACTACTACTTGAGGAAGACTCTCAACAAGATACATTATCATGATAAACTGCAGTGATAGGTTCAAATATTGCAATGATTCTGAGAGACGGAGTTCCGCCACCAGAGATGGAGTTCCACCGCCAGACGGGCCAGGAAGAGACCCAGGAAGAGCAATAGTCAGCCATCCACCGCAGAACCCCAGAGGAGTGAAGACCACCCGCCACTGTGTGACCCCCCCTGCAGCCTGCACCTGTGTGACCCCCGACCAGCAGCGCCCAAGCCCCGCCCCCACCTCTTGGTGGTAGTGTCCAAGGCCTGCGCTCCTGACCCCCCTAGTCCCTTGCTTCCATGCACCTCAGCCCCTACCACAGCCCTGTGACCTCAGGGCACCACCGTGGATCCAGCCATCACCTGGAGCTATCCACCGAGCTGTTGTGGAACTAACCTGGCAGAAGAAAGGCCGGCAGGTAGGATCTTATCTGTGTTTACTGGGGCTGATTATCTGGGAGAGCACCTAACGGCATGCCCACAGGTGGGGAAATTGGCCAAGCTCTCTTGGGTTCCCACCCAAAATGAGCCAGCCAGCTGGCTTCTGTGAACTCTGCAGACCAGCCAGAGGCTAGTGCGTTGGTGGGAAGTTGACCTTGACTATTCGGATCCTGTGGATCCAGGGCCCTCCTGGAGCAGGGGCTGTTGTGTGAGGGCACCTGTGTAAGTGCCGGACAACAGGAATTTGAGTAAGGACCCCAGTCGTGAGCACACTGAGACACCAGAGGTTTGAGCAAGGTCTTCCATGTGATTGACCTGCCCTTGCAATCACCCAACCCTTTGCCTGCCTCACCCCACTTGGCTCCACACCAGTGCCTACACATCTGGGCAATCAACTTGCCTTTAAACAGGAGTACCTTGACCTGTTTTAGCAACAAGAGATTGCCCTAGCAGGCGCTGAACTGACATTTTTC